ATAAGGTTTACAAATGGTACAACCACCACCTTAACATCAAATTTTAAAATTGTTGCTTTGATTAAAATGGCCATTGATTACGATCTTACATATAACTACATCTGCAGGGGGATTGTCGAACGTCTCTTTCTGTTAAACAAATCAATATGTAACATGTCGAAACAGCCAGTAATAGCAAAATGCCAAAAAAATAAGTAGGGACGAATGCTTCCATTAGGAAATAGGTGAATACCCTAATCAACTTGTCGTTTCATTAATAGTTCACTTCAAAAAATAATTATTATGTAACCCAAGTATCTTTATGAAAAAAATATATCGCATGACAGCATTTGCCAAGTGAGATATCTGCCCTTAATTGCAGAATTCTATGTCTAATTTTGCTCATTAGATTTTTTATCTTTTCGGGAACATTATTAAACATAAAACATTTTCCGGTTAAGATTTATGCAATTAAAAAAGGTGTTGTGATTTTTTTTATATTCCATTAGAAAAAATGTTACATTATTCATTTGTATGTAATATTCCATTCTGGAAAGAAAGAGGAACAATTTAAATTATGATATCTCTTCTATAATTAATGAAATCCCAAAGTTAAAATTGTAGAGGATACACGTAAAACGTAATAAATCCTGTTGCTATTATTCAATATTAAATTAATGTAAAGTTTATTTAAGAGTCGTCTGTAAAAAGAATATAAGTAAGAAGTACGTTGTATACCAATATATATACGCACAAACCTAAGAGAAGTAATGTTACATAAATACATGTATACACATCGCCTTTAACTTTTTTGAGCCACCACTATATAAAGCCACAATAGCTGAAAAAAAACCCTCTCTACAAAGTTAACTTATATACACAGATGTTTTTCCTATTATCTGCATGTTGTTGTTATTTCAATAGATACGGTAAATGTATTCATTTTTTTCATTGATTTATAATCTGATTTTGCAATTTGTGGATAGCAATGAAGAATGCGTCAAAATAAAAATGTAATAACAAATTAGAATTCTCAGAAAAGAGGGTTGTTGGTATCCTCCCTTTTTTAGGTTATTGAAACAATATTTATGATGAATGAATGAAATGTTCCGTAGACGTTGGTATAACTTCTTCGTTTTCCAATAAAAATCCCATTATTAGTATCTATTTCAATATACTGAAGAAATCCACATTCAATTCGGCATTAATTTCTAAATACTTTAATATATTTTCTACCCACATGTCTTTATTTTGTAAGTGAGCAACTTAATGGGTATGGCATAACTATCAAAAATAGCATGTCAACGGCTTACAATGACCCCCTGTAACAGCTCAGCTCAATGGCCAATATTTTAAACAGCTGAGCAAAATTTTCTAATCAAAGGTTCTGTAGTTTCGAATCCGTACCATTTAGAAAAACATGCTGCAATGGTTTTAGTTTTGTCCACCACATGACTTATAAATATTATGTTGATAAATATTATAGGACCAAACTTGTCGCTCAGAAGATGTTGGGGAGTCAATGCTTTGCCGATTCACAATTTCCGTCCCTCTGACATAAATCGGTACTCGTTGACAACATTCGTCGCCCGAACGATTCCTAATTGACATTTTAGGTTTTCAATATTTCAAAATACTTTCCGTATCTCACATATAACCTACCTACATATGTATCCCCAATTTCAATGAAATTTTAATATGTGATGGAATTTGGTCTAAAATTTTTTTGCCAAATCATTTTGAGGTCGGTTCGGTTCGGATATAGCTCCCATATATATTTTCGACCAATTTCATGTATCATCAATGCATCAAACCAGCAAACGAAAACAAACGAACCGATTAATGTACCCCTATCACGAAGACACAAACTTTTTTTCAATCGTTTTGTAATCCATACAAAACAATATCACAAACATTTCAATGGCAGAAGTACACAAACTGGAAAAGTTTGCAAACGTTTGCTGTGCGAAATGATCACTGGTACATTAAGATTTGTTATACCCTCCACCACAGCATATATATTCTGGATCAGCGTAAAATTCTAAGACGATCTAGCGACGTCCGTCTGTCTTCGGTAATCACGCTATCTTTAGAACGAATTGAGATAGAAGGCTAAAATTTTGCATACATTCATAGTTCCACGTTTTCGTAGAGCACCCATATAACGGTACCTCCCGATATTTAGTATTTCCATGATTTTAGCGACATTATTTACCGGAATTATTTCAAATTTCGTATTTGAAGTTCGTAATAGGTACAACAGCCTATGACAAAAATTTTTTATGCAGGTCCAAGTCTTCGTATAGCCCTCATATAACGGTACCTCCCGATTTTCAGTATTTTGATGGTTTCAGCAACATGATTCACCGGAATCGTTTTAAATTTCGTTCTGGAAGATCTTAATGGGTACTACAACCTTTGCCATAGGTTGTTGTATGCAGGTCCAGATCTTCGTATAGCCCCCATATTACGGTACACCAGAATTATTTCAAATTTGGTATTTAAAGTTCGTAATGGGTACCCAAAATTTTGTATGTAACCAAAAATTTGGTATGCAGGTCTACGTCTTCGTATAGCCCCTCTATAACGGAACCTCCGATAGTCGGTATTTTGACGATTTCAGCAACATTATTCACCGGAATCTTTTAAAATTTCGTATTGAAAGATCTTAATGGGTACTACAACTTATGTCAAAAAATTTGTATGCAGGTCCACGTCTTCGTATAGTCCCCATATAACGGTTTTCATTTAAGTGGTAGTTTTCGATGTCCGTCTCTCTGTTGTAATTACGCTATCTTTCGAGCGAATAGAAATATAAGGCGATTACAAACGTTTCCATAAGTTTATTTTTGTTCGCTGCATCAAAAACGCTCTGTATGCCAAATTTGAAGGAAATTTAGAATTTTTAACGAAATTTGGAACGAAAATTAATTTGCCGAATTATATTGAAATCTGTTTAGATTTGAATGTAGATTTGATTTGAAATACATTTGGAAATTGTGACAGAATGTGGCTAACTAAGCTAACAGTAAAAAAACTACACAACAACTAAATTAAAGCTTCGTATATTACATGGGAGTATGTAAGTTGATATGTATTGCTACATAGAAACCAATAGCTAAAAAATGCCGTTTAACTTGAAAAGATTGCAGTTTCCTGTACAGTTGGCATTTGCTATGATAATTCAATTTTCAATGCTTTCTCCTTAGGTCATTACGTAAGAAACACCCTTGCATGGAACTGTCAATGTAGATCTAAGTTTTGATATAGTCTCCATATAACTGATTTGTATCACACTTTTGGAAATTTTGCAATTTGAAGTTCCTAATGGGTACTACATCCTATAGCAGAAAATTGGACATATAGGTCCAAGTCTTCGTATAGCCCCCATGCAGCTGTACCTCCAGATTTTCGGTATTTTGATATTTTGGCGACATTATTTATGGGAATTGTTTAAAATTTCGTATTATAAGTTCGTAGCAGGTGCTACAGTTTAAACACATGGGAGAAGCAGTTATTAAGAGTTTCCTTAACGATTTTTTGCTCCTAATCCAAAGGTATAATTGTTATATTTATACCCTTCACTATATTTTGCAGGATATTCTACGTTAGTCATTTCGTTTCTACTCTAATAATAAGCATATCAGACCCCACAAAGTATTATATTAAATTCCTATGTCCATTTAGTCTTGTATGTCCGTCTGTGGAAATCACTCTTTCGAATGGGATGAAGTAGGTGGATATATAACTGTTTCTTCAGATTTAAAATGTTTTGGCGAAATGAGCCATTTAAAAAAAAATTGCTGTAAGTTTGTGTTCCCTATGTGTAGGAAACATCTTTCCAAGGAACTATCCATGTAGATCGAAGTTTATGTAAAGCTCCATGTAGGTGTACCCCTGATATTCGATATACTCTACTGACAGAAAATTGCTTATACGGGTTCTCGTCTACGTATAACCCCCACAAACGGTACCATCCCTATATTCGGTATTTTGATAATTTTAACTACGCTTCTCTACAGTACCATAGGGACTCGGAAACAAACGTTAGTTAGTACAACAATCTGATATTTGCTAAGAATCAATGGGTGATTTCTTAACATCCAAGTTTCTCTTGCCGCTCCTTGTTATGATGTAATTTAGATGCCTAAATGGTGGCGGCTTGTCAATTCAATCATATGTTCTTTGTAATTTATGTCTCGTACTAAATACAATAATTGATTTTGTTAATCCAATTTCACAATGTATATTTCATATATATTTGTTAGTATACATATTCTAATACTGTTCACTAGCACAACCAGGGGCGGAATGATAAAAGAAGAACGTGTAAAAACTAACTGTAAAAAACACAACAGGGAAAAGTGTTATGCAAAAATTTAATAGTTTTTTTCTTTGAATGACTTTAAACTGGTTTCGTGGTTGTAAATTGTACACAATCAGAGTCAACTTTTTGCTTCAATTCAAAAACACTTGGAGAACAAATTCAGGAACAAAAGTAATTAGAATGGGCTTTTTGCATCGATTTTAAGTATAGAAAAAATTGTATAAACATCCATATAATAAAACTCGTAAAATGTATATAAAACTTGTTTAGTGAGCCGATAAAATAATCTATAATATCTAGAATATATGCAAAGTTAATGCAATTAATCAGTTTTAAATTAATGTTCAATGTAGATAACTACATAGTAAAATCGATTAAACTGGTGTTTTCCAATGTTAGCAAGTGGTTTTAAACATTTTATTTTTAGTGCAAAAAAATTTAAAAAAAAAATTATATTGATCTAAAAACCAAATGGTGGTAGAAGCAAGCTCATTTTGCTCGTTTTTAAAACGTAAAGTTCAACAAAGATAACTAGTGCTAGTGCACTAGTGCTTCCAATGTTATCAAGTGATTTAACGTATTTTATTTTTAAGTCAAAAAAAAAAAAAAAAAATTAAAAATATTTATCTAAAGCTCGTTTTTCTCCATTCTGTATAAAAGGGTTTAAGTAATATACGTAATAATTTGTAACTACCTTGAAAGTTGAGTGCAATGTTAGCATTACTCTCTCCATGCTCATTTAGAGCGTTGCAACGATAATTGCCACCATCTTCCGTTGTCGGATTCTGTATTTCCATTGTTAAAACGAATAAATCCTTTCCACGACTTTGATGCTCCATTTTAACTCGTGCAGAATTTTCGATTTTTTTATCCGCTCGGTACCACGATATTTGTGGTAGGGGATATGCCTCTAATATGCACTCCATAATTAAAACATCTTTTTCCTGTCGTATTGTAGGCTTTTTGGGAAATCTTGGCGATATTGCGTCCGATATTCTGTCAATGGTCATATAATAGCAGTTTTTTTCTAATTATATTGAAAAACCACTTACTTTTTTGAAGATCCCTCAAAATTTAAATTCAGAGTAGTAGTTCCCTCTCCATGAATATTTTTCGCAGTTACTTGATATTCACCTTGATCACTTGGGACAATATTTGTGATTTCCATATAAGCCATATGGTACAATTGCTGATCCAATACCAGAGATATTTTGTAGCGGCCGCCATTTAGTATTTGTTCTTTTCCATGATACCTTTTATATGATGTTTTATATTATATGAATGTAGGTACTTATAATAAAGGAGTTAGAATTGATTTCATTGATTATAGCTTCCTTTTAATATGTAGCGTTTAACACCTTCCTTTAAATATTTAGTATAAGTAACGATAACTTGTTTTAAATTAAGAAATAATCACTGCAGCATGCAGATTAAATAAAATCTTCGTATTACAATGTGTATACTTCGAACATTCCAAATATATATATATATATATATATATATATATATATATATATATATATATATATATATATATATATATATATATATATATATAGTACGACTTCCTGAATATACACTTTTTTGAATTTTAGGTAACGGTATTAGGGAAATCCAATTAAAGAGAAAATTTAGATTCATTTTAATTGTTGAGTGACTTTTACAAACGGGTATCTTGTTTTATAACCAAATGTTTTCGAAAACTTTCGTTTTAATTCAATACGAAATAAATTCAGTTTGTGTTTTTATAATTGATTTCTAATTGAAATGTGTCTTGGATCGAAAACTGGAAGGGAAACTTTTGTTGTTTTTACACAAATTGGTCTCTGTCAAGTTCAGTCACGGGCTTTTGAACTGTCAAACAATATACAAGAAAAACGTTAAAAAATTCTTACCCATTTTTTTGTTAATTATAAATGTTAGTTAAAATCTAACATCTAACTAACTATCTAACATTTCGCAAGGCGTTTTTAATAATTAAAAACTCACATTTAAGTTGAATGCGCTATTTCGCAAAATATTTACAGTCAATTGACCAAATATTTTTCCGATAAGAAACATGTTTATATTTTTAACTTTTGAAATTTCATCTGCGTCAACCATTAAACGACATTGACATTTTGAAGCTCGATTTAAAGAGTTGTTTTTTTCAATATCGAAAATCTTTAGTGATATTTTTATATACCCTCTACCATAGTGCGGATGGTATATTATGTTTGTCATTCGATTTGTATATTCTTAAACAGCATAAAATTCTATGTCGATGAAATTGCATTAACAGATCCAGGTCATAGTAAAAGCCCCAAGAAAACGATAACTTCATATTTTCGGCGTTTTTATGATTTTAGTAGAATTTTTCAATGGACAAAATTTGCAAATTCCCTTAAAACAGTGAAAGGTACTCAAATTTCAGATTGGCCGAATTGTGTTTTTCATGTTTTAGATGAAAGAAAGAGATTTAAAAACTTTATCGGGAGGAAAACTGCGTTAATTTCATCATATAACTAGTGTTTGATGCTGTAAACTGGGATCCTGATGGATCACATTGAATTAGGTATACATTGGCTAAGATTTTCAAAATTATCACTGACATGTAAAAAATGTATGCACCTTGTGCCACTAATCGGAATTTAAGAATTTATTCAGACTATAATGCAGACGGTGCAACATCTTGGGCAAATCGAACATGAAAATCGTGTACGCATCAAATACCAGAAAATATTCGGTATTTTGATGATTTTAGTCACATTTTCTAGGTGTTCTAAATGTGTTTTCCTCAATATTGCCACAATATTTTCTATATAGACACGAGTTTTCCATTAGCCCTCCTATAACGGTTCCTCCGGATATTCAGTGTTTTGAAAAAATTTGCACATTTTTAAAGGATATGTTCAAAATTTTACCTCCTGTGACCAGCAAAACTATGCAATAGAACATTTGGTACTTGCAAAATAGTCGAATGTCGAATTATACACTTGTAATAAAATCTTTTATTTGTCTCAAGATATTTAAAAACACATAATTCTTAAGATTTTGGCGCTGAACACATTTATTAAGTTTATATTTAGCACAGAAATCGCAGTAATCAATGAATCAAGCGGGAAGTATTTAACGACTTTTAATAATGAACTATGGGCTTAGTTCTATTCATACCAAGTGATTGTTGGCTTGGGATCACCAACACATCTACATTGAAACACAACGTTTCCATCGTCCATCTGGCGTATAACTGGCCTTTCAGTGAATGTGGGCTTTATGCCATCGTTCGGTACTGGAGCTTCATCGCCTACGATTTAAAAATTTTAATATGCATATATCTGTATATACTTTGTAGATATGCTAAGAGTCTCAAAAGAGAGTAACGATTTTTAATATTTATAATTTTATTGTAATTTGCATTTACTCGCTCTTGAGACACACTCTATAGATGGGTACATACATACAGTTCTGGTCGGACAGTCATAATAAAATGTCAATGCAGTAACAACAGTATTTATATTGTGTATTTTATTTTTTCTCTGCAATATTACTATTATTTTTAGGCGTTGGTAAGCGTGGTAGGCACAAACAATCATTGTTTCTTTGGCAAAATATTGTGTAAAATTAGGCTATTGAAAGAATATCTTTTAACGAAGTAATTTTTACAGTTAATAATACGATGCAAGAAAGATAAGTGTTTTGTAAATTTAAAGAGTTTGGAATTATGAATCATGCCAAATAATAGAGGTAACCTGTATCAGAAAATTGTTTTTTTCTACCCCAACATGTATCTTATTTTTTGTCGGTAATGCTTATCTATCGCATAGAGTCGTAATTTCATAAAAAATGGAAAAACATATAGCGATTCAACCTAATTCGATAAAATGTTGCTCGCATATTTCTATTGTCAAATTGAATCCAAAAAAAGAAATGAATGTTTTAATAGTACTAGGTCCACATTTTGGTGTTGCCCCCATATAAATGGCCTCAAAATGTACTCTTTTTGGGGCTGTGGAATTACAATACTTGGCCGTTAATTAAGAGCAGAATTAAGGATTTTGATATGTCCACAATTTTAAGTAATCTTCTCAAATTTGAAATTTTTACACAGAGCAGATTTTGTGTAAAGTATGGGTTGCTGTAGGTCAAAACGTAATTAAGAAATAGTCTACCAAGCTACAATAATTCATTAACAATTTTCAATAATTGTTCATATTGGAATTTCAGCATTTGAACTTTCACATAATATTTCTCATATATTTTTAAAGATTAAGACATATAAAATGATAAATATATTTCCATACTTCAAACATTTTGGCTAGAACGATTGTATGACTAAAATAACACTTTACATTATTGTTATTCCATTTGTAACACCTCTAAATATCAGTCGTAGTCCGCAAAAAGTAAATTTGTTCATGATCAGCATAAAGGCACGATAGTTTGTAGTATGTCTAAGATACATGGGTCCACGCTTCGGTCCATATAACGGTTCCTCCCGATACTTTGTATTTTGTTGATTTTATTCACATTTTTCAAATAGATTGTCTTAAATTTGGTATTGTAAAGGTTTCTACCTCTGGGGGCTGAACATAGTCTATATTTGGTCACGTTATAATGTAGGCCCCACATATCGGTACGTAGAAATATTCGCTATTTTTTCAATTTAGACCACATTTTTAATAGGATTTGTTTCAAAACTAGTATTTACAGTTCATAATAGATCCAACAAGCGGTGCCCAATTATTGTCCATAGGGGTCAAGTTTGGGGCAACTCAATTAGCTCTTATATATATATATATATATATATATATATATATATATATATATATATATATATATATATATATATATATAATTCGCTGTCGGGTACGCAAAGATTCAACGGAAGCTTTTTTTACATAACGCATAACTCCTACGGATTTCGAAACATTGATGAGCTGTCGCCAGAATTTTGGATTTTTTAACGGATATTAACTAAGTAGGTTATGGATGCGCATTTTCAAACAATTATAGAAAAATAACAATAATTTAAACTTATTAGGAATGTTGTCAGCTTGTTCACGAACAAATCTGAAACAATTCTTTCGCAATTATAAAAAATCATCAAATCAAAAGCTAATATTGCATTCATTTATGAAGAACATAAGAAGAAATTCAAACGTTAAAGCATTGTCCACCTCAACATCTACATATGATTGATCAAATTCTTCATTTAAATGGAGTCGCATTTGATTACAATTTTATGTATGTCATGTAATATGTAGAAATTGGAAAGGGGCGTGGTACCTCCCATTCGCCACCTTCTTTAAAAACGTTTCATATTCTAAACTAATGAACGTATCGATTCAAGAATTTGTATACGGTATTGTGATATTTTCGCAATCGATCGTATCCATTATTTTGGGCACTGATTGGACGACCACCCGTAGCGTAGTGAAGGAACAATTGGTGATATGATTTTTATACTTAGTAGGGATAACTCCAAGAGTTACAAATATGAATTCATATTAATCGTAAACTGTTTGATGAGTGGAATAAATGACCTCGCTCTCATTTTAAAATCTATATGATAAACAATTGGACATATTGGCGGCGATGAACATTGAAAAATAAATTATAATGAAAAATATATTATTATGTATGTCAATTTTGTAATGTGAAAATAGTTAAAACGAAAAAGATAATAAGGTCGTGCCAAGAGTTCAATATATTCTGAATTTGAAAAGAATCGGATCTAAATTGGGGAATTTAAAGCCAATTGGGGAAAAACTGAATTGATGACAAATATTCTAAATAATAATATGCACAGAAAACCATCTATCTAGAAATAAATGTATTCTAAATTTGATAGAAATGGATCAAATAGGACCCACCTATTATTTGTAGAAAGTTTAATTTGCTTTGGCCACCTTTTATTTGTAGAAAGTTTCATAAGCTAGAAAGAGTTGTTCAATCTTTCTATTTTTGTCCAATCCGACGAGGACGCAGCAACACTGTGCTACAAAGCCAGAGGGGCGACACGGTGCCCGAAAAGGCATTTGCTAAAAAATCTTTTTTTTTTTGTAATTTGATTATATAGTAAAAGTGACTAGAAAAGTTGTTTTGATGACGTCCAATTAAATTTTTAGAACATTAATCATAGAATTAATAATTATAATTCGTAAAATATGTTAGACATGCGTAAAATAGAAGATTTGTCAATATTATCTTGCACAATATATTCTCATTTTTCAAAAATATAAAGCTTTCCGATGAACACGGGTTTACAGAGATGGAAGGTTTTTAAGGATTTCTATCGAAAATTCGATTTTATATTATGTCAAACAATTGTGTCATATCTTTTGAATCATGGCAATTAATGGGATGTCTTCAAAAAATTGATACAGACAACCTCCTAGTATATTTTTAAACCTCCACACTAAATATTTCTGAGCCAAAGGTGAATATGTGCTATCTCTCTGGCTTTCTTTTCTTATATATATATCATATTTCAGAAAACACCAACTTCCGCCTAACAAGAAGAATGTTTAAGTGAAAGCCCTAAAATATTGAAATAAATACTTTAAAGCAAAGCACTAATTGGCCGGTTTTTAAATACTTAAGAGTTTTGTTTAATTTTCCAACTGACTACCATGTAGAATTTTTTTTTTTTTTTTTTTTTGTAAAAATCGTAATTCATTTGCATTTAAAATGTAAATCATATTATAGGGTTCCGAATCTCTAAACGACTTTTAATGTAAGGAGAGTGACTTCTTTTATTCTCATGAATCTTTTTCGACAATCGAAAACAGCTTCAACCCATGAAATATTGCGTCCATTTGATTAACGAAACGCAGAGAAATAGGATAATAGTGTACATTTATTTTGAGAGGATTACACACTAGTTTTCCGTTTGACAACTTCATGTGTGTAGTTACTGATTGTATTATGTCCCATATGCCACATGAAAATACTTTTATGCTGAACGAAATCAAACATCGATGCAGGTCTTTATAAATACTTACTGTCAAAATTTAAGCTAATTGTGGCGTTACTTTCGCCTAAGTCGTTTTTCCCGTTAACTTTATATTTTCCAGCATCTTCAACTGTAACATTTTTCAGCTCTAGGGTAGCAAAATAGGAATGACCATCCTTTTTGACGCTAAGCTGAAAAATAAAAATTGAAATGTACTTATTTTGCCAAATTTAATAGTGTTATTATTTTGTAATATTTTTTTCTAATATAATATCCAAATAAAGAATGGATATAAAACTTCATTTGCTTGGAATTGTTGGAACAAATATGCAAAGTGTGACGAGTACCAGGTGGTGGAATGAAATGAGTAAGCGGTATAGGGATTATGTTTTTAGACATTTCTGTATATATATATATATATATATATATATATATATATATATATATATATATATATATATATATATATATATATATATATATATATATATATATATATATGGGTGACATGAAAAACCTTCAGCCTGCTGTCATTTCTAAGCCACTCGTTCGACAGCTGTTCCAGCTCATTACATTGTTTACAAGCGTTATTCGTGATGCAATTCAGGCGTGATTTCTTTATATTTGGATGGAAAACCACAAGTGACTATCGTTTGAGCACTCCAACATTTAAATTTGCATAAATCTCTTGTGTCTCGTACCATCGCTCATTTCCGTGATTCTGATAAGTAGCCCGACGTCAAGGAAGTGGATGGAAGAAAACAGCAACATCCGCACAAATGGTTCGAAAAGTAAAGAAGCGGCTTTATCGAAACCCGCGTCGCAGTGACCGAAAAATGGCTCGTGAGTTGAACATATCGTAATATTATTGAAAAATTAGCTTGGGGTAAAGCCATTGGAATTCCAAAAAGTGCAAGAACTTACACCGCAACAGAAAGAAAATAGACTCAAAAGACCTAAAGAGGTCAGCTAAAAATGTGCACCTTCGGTTGGCCACCAGAACTCAAACGCCGGCCATGGTGATAGTGTGAGCCATAACAGCCGATGGTCCCTCTCCGCTGGTACTAATCGACATTTATACCCTCCACTTTTGAAATAAGGGTATATTACATTTGTAATTCCGTTTATAACATCTCTGAATATTCTTCGTAGACCCCATAAAGTATATATGTATATTCATGATCAGCATAAAATTCATTTGACGTAGAGCTTCAAAATTTTCAACAACAATTTGTAAATTTCTATCTAGGATGGTTAGTATTGAAAATGGTTAGTATTGTATAGCGCCCATGTAGCGGTATATCTCGATATTCGAGATTTAGATGGCTATAGACACATTTTTCCACGGACTTTTCTAAAAAATGGTATGTGCAGTTTGTAATGGATTTTAGCTTTTGTGGCGGAACATTGCATATATAGGTCTTCGTTACGTATTGACCCCATATAACGATACCTCCCGATATTCAAAAATTAGACGGTTTTATCCACACTTTATCACGGATTTGTCTGGTCTGGGTCCTAATCACGATTATCCATGATATTTTTTTTTTTATTTGTTATTTAAGACTCGCAATCCTCGTCGTACAAAATTGTCTCTAACGGCCCAACCCACTTTATTGTTTTTTTAAAAAGTTCAACTGCAGTATCCAAACGATCTTATTGCTATTTGTAGTTTGAAGTGGAACACGTCTGAATCCTGAAACTTTTATATACACATATTAAAAGTTCGGCCCAGCCGATCTTACTTGTTTCTATTAACTTTGTTCTACAACCAGCTGAACCCTGTGCGCTTCGCTACCTCTTTTGCTTTTATATGCATTCAAAAATTAGTTAGCCAAATTCTGATACATAATCCAAACTTCATTGAAATTTGACATACAGGGCGTGTTTGGTGCAACAACCGATTCAATATAATTTTACAAATATATCCAAACCTTTTTCAAATAAAATCTATATCCAAATCTAAACAGATTTCATTATAATTTTCGTTCCAAATTGCGTTAAACATTCCAAATTTCCTTGAAATTTGGCATACACAGCGTGTTTGATGCATCAAATACATGAAATCGGCTGAAAATATATATAGGAGCTATATCCAAATCTGAACCGATCTCAAAATTATTTTGCAAATAAATTTTTAGACCAAATTCCATCATACTTTCCATATTTCATTGAAATTATTCCAAGTCTGAAGATTTTCCCTACAACTCTCCTTGGGGCCTACATTCGCACAGCTCGGACCGTAGGCAGCTTTTCCAAGTGATTTCTCTACAACTCTCACTGGGTACGCTCTCAGCCCGAGTTGCTGTTAGAGATTTCCTGGAAGCATCGGTGCTTCCAGCCACCTCGGTGCATTGCGACTTTTGTTAGCTTATTGCCACTCTCTTATTAGCTACGGAGCTAACCGCATAAAAAAGGTAATCTGTCGACTCGGGTTGACAACCTCTCACAACATCTCAATAAACAGTCATTTGTATTATATTTGAATTAACTCTTCTTTGGTTTTATATATCTTTTTATTTCTATACGGTCACGGTTTGTATGCCTGAGAGAACATCAACGTCTCATACGGAGAGAAACAATAGTAATAATTATAACAATATGATAGGCCCAAAAGCCCAATATTTTTGTCATTTGCTGTCTATAGAGACAAATCAAATAGCTTCGATATCTTTATAAGCTTATTGACACTCTCTTATTAGCTACGGAGCTAACCGCATAAAAAAGGTAATCTGTCGACTCGGGTTGACAACCTCTCACAACATCTCAATAAACAGTCATTTGTATTATATTTGAATTAACTCTTCTTTGGTTTTATATATCTTTTTATTTCTATACGGTCACGGTTTGTATGCCTGAGAGAACATCAACGTCTCATACGGAGAGAAACAATAGTAATAATTATAACAATATGATCGGCCCAAAAGCCCAATATTTTTGTCATTTGCTGTCTATAGAGACAAATCAAATAGCTTCGATATCTTTATAAGAAAGAAGATAAAGGGAACTCAAAATATCTGTTTATCTGATTTGCAAGATCAAGAGGAGGAAGGAAGATTATACCGTTAAGACGAAGAAGCTTGGAATCTAAAAGAAAATCTTTTGTTGGTTCTATACATTAATGAAATGTTCTCACATATTATTCATTAGAATCATAAAATCATACATAATCACAAATATTTATAAATAATTCTGTACTCTCATTTATACGGTCTATGATTTTGTTGTTATGAAAAATAAGTAAATAAATCCTAAATTTTGGAATTAGGATTACTGTTGGAGTATAGGATTGGGTTATTTACGATCTTTTAGGAAGTCGAATTTATGTGTACTAAATTTTTAAATTGCACGCTCAACGCATTTGGGCAGGATTCATATAAGTACATTGACTTGACTTGCAACAAAGCCAAAAGTCATAATTTTTACATTTTTTTTTTAAATTTTATTGTGTGAAAGCAAAAAATGTAGGAAATAACATCAAATTTTAGAATACGTTTAGATTATTCGATTTGGTCACCTTTGGCATGAATTATGGCCTTCACACGGCCAATGAAACCGTCGCACGCTGCCCGAATGTTGCTCTGCGGTATTTTGGATAAAATGTGGATAAAACATCAAAATTTTGAATATTGGGAGGTATCGTGTGGGGTCAATACGTATCGTAGACCTATATATACAGTGTTCCGCCACAGGAGCTAAAATCCATTACAAACTGCATATACCATTTTTTAGACAAGTCCGTGGAAAATGTGTCTAAAGCCGTCAAAATCCCGAATATCCGTAGATACCGTTACGGATATTCGGGATTTTGATGACAATACCAACTATCCTAGATAGTTGTTGTTGAAAATTTTGAAGCTCTACGTCAAATGAATTTTTTGCTGATCATGAATATACATATATACTTTATGGGGTCTACGATAAATATTCAGAGATGTTATAAACGGAATGACAAATTTAATATAACCTTATTTCAAAAGTGGAGGGTATAAATATAATTGGCACACACTTCGCCATCAATACTTAGCTGCAGCGATAAAGACAACAAGAGCGAGTTTAAATTATTGTAGCTTTTCTATAAACTATGGACTCAAATTTTGAAGTTGCAGCTCTTTCAGTTGAAAACCATGACTGCTCTACGTTAAGATATTGTTTAATCATGTGCGCAAGTTATTTGGTATGGTATCTTTTTAGCATTTTCACTATAGACATGACATGTCCATCGGAATTTTTACAAATGCTTTGGCAGGAGTTTTTCATCTTATTTCTAAAATCATTTTAAATACCATACACTCAATAAAATCATGATACCAAGTATGTTTATTAAAAGAGATGGATACATTGAATATCTATATTTTTAAAAAAATATCTAGTTACGAACTCAAACAAACAAGTTAAACAAAAAGCCGGACCGTTGAATACCCTCCGCCATCTGGAACGAATTTGGCAATTTTCAAAAAAAAAAAAAAAAATAAATAAATAAAATAAAATAAAACCCTTTTAAAATATTGTTAAAATCTAAAAATTACCGAATTTAGCCGTTATATTATGGTGTAAACGACGATGTGTCATAAACCATTACAATATTCAAATTTGAAAGTGGACCTACAAGGCCCAATACCAAATGTACTGCAGACATGTTATACATTTGATAAAGTTTTATAAAGCTGCTTCGTTTCGTTCGTAGGCAAGAGTGATTTCCACAGACGGAAGGACGCACGTAGAATTTTATGCTGATCAAGAATATATATACTTTGTGGGGTCTAAAATGTATATTTCGAGGAATGACAAACTTAATATAATATCCATATTATGATGGAGGGTATAAAAAGAGTGCGAATTAATTGTAAGTCTGCATTTAAATACATTTTCTAATCCGCCGAGAATTGGTTCATAACATAAATTTCGAAGTATAATTATGCATGTTTCTAGGTTTACAACCCACTAAGTTTTTTATTCCGATTTGTTGTATTGATATCCCTCCTTTTTAAGAATTTTGAGCTAAAGTTAGCCGTTTACAGCTAAACAAGTATTTACTGTTTTACATTATATAGGGATACGAAACTCCATATATAATTTAAATCTGCAAGAAATTTTTGCTAGGTTTTATTTCTTCTATTTGTACAAAATAACCAAATTTCTATAACAGACTTATCATAGTTTTTTCCAATGACTGATTCAATTCGCACTCAGACAGATGACTAGCATCACATGAAAAAAAACTTCCTTAAAATTGTTCTTCGTAAAAACTATTTAGAGGAGCGATTTCGAATGTTATGCTTTTGATATATAGAGTAAGTGTGCCTAAGTTCTGCATGTTCCAGTAGTCGGCACTTTTTATTTTTAAGCCCAAATAAATGAAACTATTATAACTAAATTTATTTTGTTTACTTCAAATATATTATCAGCTATTTTTGTGTACAATTTCGCTAAGAAAAGATGATTTATTCTAATAAAAATTTAATTTTTGTCTGTGAAGGTCCTCAACAATCCATATTCTTAAGAAGAGTACAATAAAGACGTCGAATCAGTTTAACAATCACAAAAATATTATATTTTAATGAATTAATATATTATTATCATTCATTATTCTTACAAAAAAATTGGTATGTCGACTGATGGAACATGCCATACCGTCAATTGGCAAGTGGTGCCGACTACTGGCAAAAAAGCATTGTTTTAATCAAACTACAAATTTATGAAATTTAATAATAGTTTATTAAAACTTTATTTATTTTTGCAAAAACTATACAAAAATTCGAATCTGAATAAATTAACTTTGTAATAATTGAAAAGTTCCACTCAGAATGGTGAGCGATTAAAAAAGCGAAAATCCTAAAAGTGCCGACTACTGGTACACTTACCCTAGGGGAAATAACAAAATTTCCCTGGCCTACCTACCTTTTTCGAATGATTTTAATATGAATTTATGTATGGCAATTAAAATCTAAAAATGTTTACATTAAATGTTCAAATATAAAGAAATCAGGGCCACACTGGTTTCGTCAAAGCATGAAATTTGATTCTGTTGCAATCCTTATTTTTTTTAAAAAAAGCAACTTGACAATGTACAAGCTAGTCTTACCTTATGGCGCGGTGATTCGTATACAGTTTTATCATTGTGGAACCATGTAATTACAGGCTGTGGATCTGCGTTAACAGTACACTCAAATAGAAGTCGTTTTCCCTCATCTTCTTGTCGAATTGATGGTTTTTTTGCAAAGGTGGGTGCAAATCCATCAATTTGTCTGTAGCAATAAAAGTAAACAATATTTCAAATTCTTATAAATATCGCTAATCTATTATAAAAAGCAACTTACCCCAATACATGCGAGAATGAAATATTACCTTCTATTAGGTTGAGGCAGTTAAAGCAATCAAATATTAAGCATTAATAAAAAGCAATTAATAGAGAGCAAATACAATTAAAATATATATTATTTGTTTGTTAGTAAATTCTTGGCAAAATAAAAATGTGTGTTAAACATGTGGAATTCTTACTTTTCCTTTGGTTCGTCCGCAGCTATAGTTGTGTCAAAGATTAATCATAACGTATTAAGTATTGTAATAAAAATATATAAAAATGTTGTAAATAATAATTGGAGTAAGAAAACTTAATTCTAATTATTATATGGAGGGCTCACTGCTATACCGAATCAAGTCATGAAAAATAAAAAATGCCGAAATTAGGACCAGGTATTTTCAGTGTTTCCTATAAATGGATAGTAATAATAGCAGTGCTAGTGATTTTTCCAGTAATGAAGATGAGGAATATTTGCCAATGAAGATTTTTTATGTGTAAATATTTGTTGAAACCATGGTAAAATTAAGAAGGCAAAGTCATTTCAAATAATCATATCCATCTATGCATTTTGTGTAGTTTACTCTGTCAAATTTCCCTGCCTAGAAAGCAGATTCCCATATCTGATTTATATGTACAATGGATTTATAAATATACATTTTGACAATGAGATGTTGTCAAATGCATAACGTTCGGCCGGGCCGAACTTTAAGTGCCCTCCACCATTTGATACAAATTTTGGCAATTTTCAAAAAATTAAAATCCATTAAAAATTCTGTTAAAATCTTAAAAATACCGAATGTATTCATTACGAACTTCATATACTAAATTTGAAATAGTTCCGGTAAATAATGTCACTAAAATCATCAAAATACCGCATATCGGGAGGTACCGTTATATGGGGGCTATACGAAGACGTGGACCTACATGGCCCATTTTCAATACCAAAAGTAAATTGAGTAAATTTTCACCAACTAACTTCATTTCGTTTGGATGTTAGAGTGATTTCCACATACGAATAGACGGATAGACGGACAGTCGGACATACCTCGCTAAATCGACATAGAATTTTATGCTCATATGATCAAGAATATATATACATTATGGGTTCTAAAATGTATATTTCGAGGTGTTACAAACGGAATTACAAACGTAATATACCATACTATTGTGGAGGGTATAAAAATGTAAACATATAATTGCATGACTTTACCTTCTTATTTCTTTAACATTAATTTATTTATTTTTTTTTTTTAAATGAATTTATTTTAATTTCCTAAAAATCACAATGATTGTCAATTACAATAGAAGCACCCGCAGCTGCCAGACGCCAAAGCAAGACATGACTTAAAATAAAACTCCGAAACTATTGGGAAATTAATCGCTAAAGTCAACTATATTTAGTCATATAACGAACACTTTATTTTATATTTTTGACTTGGTTCGCTTTAGCTGTGAAACCTTGAAATTTTATTCAGAGTAATAATGAACCAAAGTAGATTTTTTGTTTTTGAATATTTTTTAGTAATATATTTAAATTACTTTTATTTTAAATTAATATCATTAGTTAATTTTGAATATAGACTTTTACATCTTCTTTTAGTAGACTACAATATTCTTTCCAGATATTAATGGCAGTGCATTTACTTTAGCTCAAAATATCTTCGAATTATGTTTTTATGACTTAGTTCGGTATAGCTGTGAGCCCTTCATATATCGTAATAAATATTTTTTCTACTTTTTTCTTATTTGCAATTTCTTTGTGAATTATAAAATATGTAATAAAACAACGCAGTTAATTTTGTTCCCATAGAAACAACCTGCCGATTAACAGCAAATTTAGTTGAAAGGTACGGCTAAAGACCCAAAAAAATTCTCCATAGTTTTTTACGGTTCTATAGAGGCTATAATAAGTAGAGGAATTATATATAATTTTATTTTAATACTAAACTTTTTACAGGCCTAAAATTCATTGGATACACATTTTGTTGTTACACGGTTGTTGAGAAGATAGCTTAAACTGTGAAACTAATCTTCTTTCTTTTGACGGATTATCATATCGTCCTCTAAGCGGAGATCAGAGCATTATCTTTACTGCGGCAATTTTAATGGACAAAACAGTCAAATCAAGAAATAACAAATGGATATATTAATGCGGTTATCATAATAAAGGTCTTCGGTATTAACGCACTCAAAAGATGTGATACTTTGCATAGACATTAAGCATACATTTTAATTATTCATATAAGAATAAACGTTATTGAATGTAAATGTGGCTTCCTATGTGTTGAGTTTTACGACTCAAAAACGTAAACCCTGTGCTAGTGCAGGGTTTCCAAGATATAAACCTGAAATTTCACAACAATAGAAGACTAACATTTTGAATATATGTGTATTTTGTCGGTTGACAGGTGAAGTTCATAGATGGGTTCTGTCAATTCAGGTATAGCCAATGTACAACGATTTTTGGGTATTTTGTAGATATTTTCCATAATTTCTAACAAAATTGTCTAAAATTGTATTCATAGTTATATATCCCTCTGGCAAGCCACTAACTAAAGGTTCGCTTTTCGGGTTTTTTGAACGTTTTAACAGCATTTTTCTTACGATTTAACGTATTCGAAGTTTAAAATGGAACTCCATATAATATTGAGTCTCGATGGTTTTTGGCCCGGACATAACTACGAATCTTTTCCTCGTCGAAGTTATGACACCCTTTGATATTCACCTTACCCATCGTTGGCTTAACATGAATCATATAAAGAAAGTTATTATTATTAGCATTTACTTACGAGAAAAGTTCAAATTAATTGAAGCTGAAACTTCTCCCGAACTATTTTTGGCTCGAACTTTGTAAAGACCAGCATCGGTATCTAATACATCATCAATTTCCAATAATACTGTATATTTATTTCCCTCTATTGGGATTATTCTTAATTTTGTTCTTTCGTTTTCTACTACAAGGGTATCACTTCTATACCACTCTATATTTGGCGCAGGTGATGATTGTAACTGACATTCAAAAATCAGGCGATTTCCGTCATCTTCCTGCCTCAGCTGCGGTTTTTTTATAAAAAATGGCGCAAAATCTTCTGCAACTCCCATTCCGATATTTAATATTTTAACAAGGAATCAATCTGACTAGGTTCAAATGATTCTTGCCAAATTTAAAGAATCAAGGTATTCATCTATTGCTTTTTGGTTTGAATATATTATTTTGTAGTAATCAAATGAAAAACCTCTAGCTCTAGTGGTTGAGAATGATGCCTAAAAATACAAATCATTTATATTATCCGAAATAATGTCTCCAATAATTGAATACAACAGCGTTACCTAAAGTACGACGGACTAGGTCGACGTTTTTCGCCACAAAAGTAAAACACATATATTTATATAAGAGTTACCCAAATACGTCGGGCGAACAAAATTTCAACTTTGACAATTAAAATAATAATGTGGGTTAAAAATAAAAATGGATGATACAAATTATATAAATATTTGTAATAAGAAAATGTTGAAATTGGGCGAATTTAAAAAAGCATCAATTTTTAAAACGTTTTTATTTGGTATATTTTAGGATATGGATCTGGCGTATTTGGGTAATACGAACGTACAAAACATTTTCCCATAGTGGTAAAGTTCAATATTTGTGTACGATACGTCGAATTTTAGGTAACGCTGTAAAAATATATAAAATGTGACAAACAGCATACACCGAACGAAGTCCATTTTTAATAAAATTATAATTAAAAATTTTCAATTTACCCTACTTTTACAAACTTTTTCATTTCAGACACATGATTTAAAGCAATATATTTCTGCCACACTTTCCATAGAAAAACAATGTGTCATCTCGTCTAAACCGTTACACATAATTTGCAATATTAAGGACAGCCTTTTCAGTGCCACATCCTTTCTACAACCGTAAATACAACAATAACTAATTTTTTGTATGATACTTATATATAGATATTGTAGGATAAATACAGGGGGAGATGAAAAAACTGCAACCAACTTCAGACTGCTTTCATTTCTGAGCCACTGTTAAAAGTATTCCAGTGACAGCTCATTATATTGTTTACAAGCGTACAAAAAAAAGTTATTCGCGATGGAATTCAAGCGTGGTAGTGTGATTTATTTATATTTGACTGGAAAACTACAAGTGGTTATCGTTAGAGCACTCCAGCATTTAAATGTGAATAAATCGTTTGTGTCTCGTACCATCGCTTGTTACCGTGATACTGGTAGCGTAGCCCGACGTCAAGGAAGTGGATGGAAGAAAACAGCAACATCACCAGAAATGGTTCGAAAAGTAAAGAAGCGACTTGATCGATACCCGCGTCGCGTGGGCCGAGAAATGGCTCGTGAGCTGAAAATATCGCAATATTCCATTCGGCAAATATTAAAAAATGAGCTCGTGGCAAAGCCATTTAAATTCCAAAAAGTGCAAGAACTTACACCGCATCAGAAAGAAAATGGACTCAAAAGAACTAAAGAGTTGCTTCGCTTGGCCGAAAGTGGTGAACTGCCGAATTTGGTTTTCTCCCCAGCAGTCTGTAAATAAACAAAATGATCGTGTTTGCTTGCCAAAGAGGTCAGCTGAAAATGTGCACCTTTGGTTAGCCACCAGAACTCAAGCGCAGGCCATGGTGATGGTGTGGGCCGCCATAACAGCCGATGGTCGCTCTCTGCGTGTATTAATTGACCGTGGCATCAGAATAAATGCCGAATATTATTGCGAAAATATTCTGGGGTGTGTAGTTAAGTCTTGGACACGCAAACATTTTGCAGCCCTTGGACATTCCAACAAGACTCAGCACAATCGCACACAGCACGCGCCACCCAATAATGGTTACAAAATGAGGGTCCTCGCTTCATTTCCAGCTCACAATGTTCTGGAGTATTTGGAAAAGCAAGTTTGGCATTAAAAAATACCAAAGTGTCGATCACCTCATCTAGTCAACATACCGCAGAGCAACATTCGGGCAGCGTGTGCCCGTTTGAAGGCCATAATTCGTGCCAAAGGTGACCAAATCGAACAAATCTAGACTTATTCTAAAATTTGATGCTTTTCTGACATTTTTGTCTTCATTCAATAAAATTTAAAAAAAAATGTAAAAATTTTTTGTGGAAATTTTTTTAATATCTCACCCTGTATATATTGCAATGAATTTGGAATTTTCGAAAGGAAGCTACTTTGTGAACTTTTACAACTTGTGGATAGTCATGTTCACTATGCATTTTATTAAAAATGTCTACTAAAATCGAAAAAATTTCGGCTGAGCACTTCTGGATAAATGTCATTGGAATATTGTTATCTCTTGCGCACTTATTATTTTAAGTAAAGATTATAGCAAATGCCTGTTTATGTATTTGGCCTTATCTATGTCATTCAGAATCGTTATACCCTACACCGCAAGGTGGTCAGGGTATTATGCATTTGTTTGTAAAAGGCAAAAGGAAACGAGATAGACCCATAGTTCCTTTTGATGATCTGCAAAGAATCTCATTCTGAGTCGATTCATGCATGTCCGTCCGTCCGTCTGTCCATATATTTTTGTAAACAAAGTACAGTTCGCATTTATTGCCCGATCCAGATGAAATTTTGCACTAATCATTTGTTTGGCCCAAGGACGAACCCTATTGAAATTGGAGATAATCGGTACAAATTTATATATAGCTCCCGTATATTTCTTCGTCTGATTTGTCTTTTATTGTGCACCAAACGTGTAATATCAGCCCGAGTAGCCCGCATAACTTTAAATTATAATTATAATCATAGCGCGTCTGATTGAATTCTCCCATAAAAACTTTTAATTGTTATGTGGAGTTCAACTTAATTAGCAAAGTAGTGTATTGTATCATAAAGTCGGCCCGCCCAACTTTAGGACTTTCTTTACTGTTTTTTTATTGATGATCCCTCAGTGTTTTCTTTTTATTTTTGGATATTGGTTAAACAACTAACATCTTAACTATGCTTGATCTTTCGCAGGAATATAGCACTGATACCTTGCGACATTGCATCCTTGTATATACAAAGTGGTACCGTTATATGGAGGCTATACGAAGACGTGGACTTTGTTACCTATTATGACCTCTTAAGACCATAACTTAGACTCATATGGACAGGTTTTTGCAAGTAATTTGCCTACACATAATTTTGAAATTATGATCAAGACACCAAAACTATGTCTAACCTGATGGGGTCTATACCGAAACATTGCCTATATGGCGCAATACCAAAAATTGTACGGACCTAAAATACAACTTGGTAAAATCTTATAAACCCACTTCATTTCATTCGGAAGTGATTTTCACAGACGGTGATTGCTAAGTCGACATAGGATTTTATGCTGATCAAGAATAAATGTATATACATAAAGACAGAAAAAAGTGTATTAAAGTCAACAACCATTTTTATATTATTGTTGTAAATCATTCTATGTATATTTCCAATACAGCATTTCCAAATTAAATTAAACTTTTTCCAAATGAAACTTAATTTTTTTCAAATTAAATACAACTTTTATAAACATACAAAGCAACACAAAAACATTTTTATTTGTAGTAGATTTAACATTAAATTGACTAATTAATACTTGTGCTACATTTTTATATTATAACAAGTAAAAAAAAACATTACGTTCGGCCAGGCCAAACTTTTAATACCCTCCACCTTAGGGTAAAGGAAACATTAGAAGAAATGTAGCAAAAACCATTAAATTGCCGAATATCGGTTATATGGGGGCTATACCAAATCGTGGACCTACACATGCGAGGTTTCGCCAACGGAGCTAGAACCCATTATGACCTACAAATACCAATTTTCAGACAAATACGTGAAAAAAATATGTCAAAAATCATCAAATGACCGAATATCGGGAGGTAACGTTATATGGGGGCTATACCAAAACGTGGACCTATAATTACAATGACACGCCACACGAACTAGGACCAATTATGATTTACAAGTACCAAATTTTCAGAGAAATTCGTGAAAAAATGTGTCAAAATGCATCAAAATACCGAATATTGGGAGGTACCGTTATATGGGGACTATACCAAAACGTGGACCTATACATACAATGTTTCGCTACACGAACTAGGACCCATTATGACTCACAAATACCAATTTTTAGACAAATCAGTGAAAAAATGTGGCAAAAACCATCAAAATACCAAATATCTGGAGGTACAGTTATATGGGATCTATACCAAATCATGGACCCATACATGCAATGTTTCGCCACAGGAACTGGAACCCATTATGACCAACAAATACCAATTTTTAGACAAATCCGTTAAAAGAATATCGAATATCGAGAGATACCATTATATGGGGGCTATACCAAAACGTGGACCTATACATGCAATGTTTTGCCACACGTACAGGAACCCGTTATGACCTACAAATACCAATTTTCAGACAAATCCGTGAAATATGTGGCATAAATCATCAAAATACCGAATATCGGGAGATACCGTGTAGATGGGGAACAGCACGTGGACCTATATATATCATTTTCAATACCAACCATCCTAGACACAATACCAATTGCTCTGCTAAATTTTGGCGCTCTACGTCAAATAGTGTGGGCTGTATTGTGATTGATATATACATTATGGGGTCTACGACGAATATTTAAGGATGTTACAAACGGAATGACAAAGTTAATATACCCTCCTTTCCAAGGTGGAGGGTATAAAAATCACATCAAGACCCTTTATGTAAGCTAACATAAATAATTTGCTATAAAAATATTGTACTATTATTAAGCTAAGTTTCGCATTTCAAGCCTGTCCATTCCATAACAAGGGTAATTTTTTTTTTATTATTGTTTTTAGATTTACATGTAAGATAACATATAACAGTAATTAAAATTTAAGAAATAATATAATATAATATAATATAATATAATATAATATAATATAATATAATATAATATATATAATTATAGATAATATAATATAAGATAATAGAATATAATATAATATTAATATAATATAATATAATTATAATATAATATAATATAATATAATATAATATAATATAATATAATATAATATAATATAATATAATAATAATATAATATAATATAATATAATATAATATAATATAATATAATATAATATAATATAATATAATAATAATATATATAATATAATATAATATATAATATATATAATATAGATAATATATAAATATAATATAATATAATATAATATAATATAATATATAATTAATATAATATAATATAATATAATAT